CGGAATTGAACCATAGTGAAAAATTCAAATTAGCAAATCTGCAAAACGCTTGTTAAATTATCGGAAAAAATCATCGATAATTGTCATCGGATAGCAATCGAAAACTGACTATCGACGTCATTTATGTGGTCGTAATAAATAAGAAAAAGAACTGAACAAAACCTCTGTATCTGGGATAACAAAGTGCTGGACGATAAGAGTTATCCATATGACCTTTGACATGAAAATGTGAAAGTGTCTCGAATGAGACTCGCTAAAAAAATGCAGATGAGTGCAATTCAGAATCTGTCAATATGGAATAAAACTTAATTTTACGATCAACATTTGATTAAGAAATAAAGGAAAATTTCTCGACTAATGTTTAATTAGTTGAATGCAGTTTCCACCGAGTTGAATTTCAGAAATAGCAATTATATTGAATTGAATGAAGCAAGAGTGAGTGCAAAAAGTTATAACCTAAAATACCGAACTATGATTATAATTCTCACTCCGAATCACAATCGCATTTTGGAATTTTATCTATTGTAAGATAGCAATACGCACAATACACATCAACTTATATGAACAGATAACTTACATCAACGCCTAACTGCTTACGCAATGACAGAAATTCGCTTTGTTCAGACGGATCACGTATATCTTGAAGATCTACTGCTTCAGACCAAAGAATTCGTACGGAAGAATCAATATTCATCACTGCACCTGATAAACGAATTTGAATTCAAAACGAATTACGGAAGGAAATACCACATAATGCATCGAGAAAATGTCATTGACCAAGTGCATGAATTAGCAAAAACATTCAATTTATTGCATTCATCAGTCAGAATTTACAATCGTACACGCTTGTTTGCATTCCAAAAACTATTGAAATACTAAGCAAGCACAGCGGTTGAAGAGTATCAAAGGTGATTTCTCTAATTTATTAAAAGTGAATAAGAAATTTTACCAGATCCTTTCTCTCGAATTTGTTGCTCTTCCGGATTTCGAGGTGAAATTTTATCTGCTCTGCAATTGGGAAGCATTATTCGGGGAAATATTAATCTCGATAATTTGCAATTTAAAATAGCAAACAGAACGACTGCTAAAAGCTATGCAAGTTCGGCTGATTTTCGGATACCTCAGACAATACCTCAAGTTAATAATTATTACAGCCGTAATCCATACGGTTACTTGCTTGGAGAATTTATTTTACTGAGATTTTGTGCATAACATAGAACCGTGATT